GGGGCACAGACTGAGAGGCTGTACCTGCTCTGCACTGCAGCTCGTCCTCCTGCAGCAGCAGCCTCTCCTTGGCGACAGCGAGCTCCTCCTCCGCCCGCTTGGCCGCGCCCTCGGCCTCCGACACGCGCCTCTGGTCCAGCTCCAGCTCCTCCTCCAGGTCCTGGTGTGGATGGCACCACCAGAATCGACAAAAAGAGCACAGGGGGACAAGAAGGGGGAGAAAAAAGGAAGACAGGTGAGGGAAGCAGCTTTTCACACAGATGAGGAGGAGAGAAGGAACGCAAGTCAGGGAGGACGATGGGGGGGGGGATAAATGTGGTGAGTCAGTGAGCTCATCTCTCCCGGCTACGGGCAGTTAATGGTCTGCTGTGTGAGGGCTAACGTCAGCTCCATGCCAGCTCTCGCAGGGCTTCTTAATGCTCGTGCGCGAGGTGGTAATGGTGGTGGTGCGGCGGATCTATCCCGCTCAAACTGCTCATTAGCAGAGAGTTGGCAGCAGGAGCAGCACTCAGGGAGGGCAGCCGGTGGTTAGACGAGCAAGATCCTCCCCCACTCCACTCCCCTCCCCCCTCTGCCTCCAACTCGCTCCCTTTTCCCGTCAGCACCATCATTAGCTGGGCGCATCCGAGACAGGAAGCTGCCACATTTCAATTTCCTCTCACCTCCATTTTCGGCCCTCCAGTTGGAATGGAAGGGTTATATGTGTATGTGTGTGTGTGTGTGTGTGTGTGTGTGTGTACCTGTATCCGCTCTTGCAGTTTGACCGTGTTCCTCTTGCCCTCTGCCAACCTCTCCAGGTGGCCCTCCACCTCCGCCTCAGCCCTCTTCACCCTCTCTCGCAGGGCGCTGTGCATTCCTCTCTTCTCCTCCTCCTCCCTCTCCTCCCACCTCCGCCGCTCCTCCCTCCACTCCGCCTCCATCCCCCTCCTCATGTCCTCCCGCTCCTCGTTGAGGTTGTTCACCCTCTGCTCCCACCGCTCCCTCTCCTCCCTCCCCGCCCGCCCCCTCTCCTCCTCCTCCCGGTCGCCCTCCTCGCGCATCGCCTTCAGCTCCTCTGAGAGCGCTCGCACTTTTTCCGAGTCCTCCCGCTCCTCCGTTTGCCTCTGCTCCTCTCTCTTGTTCTCTTCGTCTTCCCTCTGCCTCTGCTCCTCCTTCCGCCGCCTCTCCTCGTCGGACGCTTTCTGCAGCTCCTCACACTTGGCATCCAGCTCCAGGATCTGCTCTCCGGCCTTCTCCAGCTCTTTGCTGAGCTGCAGGTTCTCCTCCTGGGCGTCACCGATGTGGGCCTTGGCCTCCTGGAGCTCTTCCTCCGCAGCCTGGAGCCTCTCCTCGAACTTTTTTCTCAGCTCCACCTCTGTCTCACGCTCTCTCTCCACTGACTGGATGCGGAAGCACTCGAAGTCCACCTGCACCTGGAGGCAGAGAGGAGAAGGTGTTACACACTGCACTTACATTTATAGTCACTACAAGGGACTTTTCTTTTGTGTTGATTTTGCCAATCGCTGTGGACGAAAGTGGTAGTGTTACCGAACACCAGAGTCCCTTTAGAAAACCTCTAATTTTACTGCAGCAGGGGTCTGGCAGTCGGCCCCGCTCAGTCGTGGTTCTGGTTCTCCCACGCATCCTTTCCCTCCAGAGGGCCCAGCAATATGGCCTGGGCCTCCAGCGGGGACCAGAGGGGCAGAGTGGAAAAGCTCTGCTCCTGGCAGGAGGAGGAGACACTTGTGCCAGGGGCTGTGCTCACCTCCTCCCGCCTGATCTTCCGACTGCAGATTGAAGCCGGATCTGGGTCTGTCCACGATGGGCTCCGCTGAAGTCTGAGCTAAAGGAGTTTCTGGTGACCCTGCAGTATGTCATTTCACCAGAATCTGAACCGGTGGCCCGGATAATTACACAGAAATAGACAATCTTCTCTCTGATGGTCTCGTTTACTGATATAGGTCATATTAGGTCTGCAGTATTAAATTGAGACGGTTTCATAAACAGTTAAAAGTTCCTCACTTGAAAGTCACTCCCCACTGAGTGTGAAGACACCCTCTTCTTTCAGTACGGCCCAAATCATTTAAAGCATTGATTCAAAAAAATTATGTTATTACTCTTAACAACACTTTCAGATGCTTTGCCCCACATGAAAACGTCCTTGAGTTCAACTGTTTCCGTGCTGGCACATTCACACTGCAAATATGCTCCAGCATTTCATCTCAGAGGAGCTGCTAAGACCACGGCAGGGAACAGTGTTTATGCAAAACATTTGAAAAGGGCAAGAACTGTGGCCACACAGGCAAACTAGCTACAAACTAGCTTCAAACTAGCTACAGTGTACAGACCAGGCGGAACACCTCCAGTTAAAAAAATGTGAAGCCAACACGGAAGTGCTTTAAACTCTCTACTGACAGGATGCAAGTCCTGCAAAGAGATGTCTGATTGTATAGAAGTCTATGAGAAAATGACTCTACTGCTCACATGATTTATTACCTCAGTAAACATTGTAAACATGAGTTTATGGTCTCAATCTCTAGTTTCAAGTCTTCTCCAACACAGCATGATGTTCATTTAGTAAATGATGGTCCATTTAGAGTCAAATAGACCATAAAGCAGGGTATGTTTTAGGGCTACCTTGGGATTGACATGTCACTACCAGAGCCGTATACGGCAGTTTAACATAACTCCTGCGCAGTCCAAATATGGTCACTTCTATTCACTGGTTGCAAAAAACCATGATGGCAAGTCTATGGTACATTCAAACAATACTCTCAGGATGAGGCAAAATATCATCACCAGCTGGCAGGTTGATCCAGACAGAGTGGTGGTCAGACTATTGACTGTGTTTGATGTTTGTTGACAGATTTTTACAGATATTTACTGTGATACATGTGATGTACATGTGATGTATATGTGATATATTGCTCCTGAATGTGCAGCAAAAACAACAACAACTGAAACAGGAAACAAAAGGACAGACGAGAGTGGCCACACATTTCAAAATAAAAGTTAAGAGGTCCATGTCACATTACCTATTGTCTCTTTAGTTGTTCAGATTGATTCTGTTTCCAAAGAGCTCATAAGGAAGTCGTGTGGGTCTTAATGATTCATGTCGATGTTTTATTGTGCATGTGACTGTTGGAGGTCACATGAAGTGTGGGTTTGATTTGCTGCTCCCACTGGGGTTTTACACGTGACATTACAGCAATACAGGGAGCCCTTGACTGTGGTCAGCTTATCTCATCATCAGGAGGTTCACCATAGACTGTATGTAAGAAGGGCACGCAGTCACTGTGACATCACCCAGTAGTTTTGTGGATTGCAGTTTTGAAGCTTATAGTTCGGCATTTTGTCCCTCGCCATCTTTGTTTTTTGGCTTCGCCATCTTGGATTTTGCCCTTCTCCATATAGTTTTTTTAATCCTTTTCCATATTGGTTTTTGGCTGTAGCCGTCTTGGCTTTTTGCAACCAGAAGTAACACAAGAGGGTGGAGCACAAGTACGATTGAACGCTGCATAAAGCATTTTTAGGTGACCAAAATGGATACAATTATCTTTCATGAACTGAAAACACACTGTGAAAGGGTTTAAGTTGTAAGACGTACACACGGACAATTCTCAGACCGGACCACGGCGTGGTAACGACCTGTAGCCCCGCCCTTAAGCATACCCTGCTTTATGATCTATTTTACTCCTAATGAGATCATAGTTTACTAAATGAACATCATGCTGTCTCCCGCTCTTACCCACACACTCACACAGAAACACACAAACACACACCTGGGCTCCAACCCTCTGCTGCTCATCCAGAGAGTCCTGCATCTCCAGGAGGCGTGTCCTCAGCGGCGACCCCTCCCCTTCATGACACGTCTCCACCAGGATGCGGTGCAGCTCTTCGTGGTGGGCGTGGCTCAAGGCCTGCAGGGCCGCCTCCTGCTCCTCGTTCTTCATGTTCAGAGAATAAATCACCTGGAGTGCGTCGACAACAGACAAGGAAAGATTCTACCGTTAGTGCACACCAAACGTATGTTCTAAACTGTATCTGTTTATCAACTCTTTCAGGGATCGGCCATCGTGCTTCTCTGCAGCCACTCCGCTCCACTGACTCCTGATTATGGTCATATCTCATTCTGATGTGCCTTTTACCTTCAATGTTTTTTTTACTGTTTGTTAATTACTGTTGTCCATTGTGTTTTGTAGTCATGCCTAATTAGTATATTTTTTAGAAAGTCATTCAGGGATTTCTTCATGTTTTCTTTTTTTTACAGTAAAGATTTTAAGGTTTTCTGTCCCTCAGGTTGAGAGATTTGAGGAAAAAGTGCTTTTGTGTAGCCTTCCCCCTATTTTTGGAACTAACTGCAGAATAATTTAAAGCAGGAGCAGCCAGTCATTGTTGAGGTGAAGCTGACATTGAAAGATTTGCTTGCAGACCGAGTAATAGATGTTTCCCTTTTGATAAGAAAAGATTAAAATGGTCCCTGTTATTGGCAGTAGTACAAAACTGTTCTTTTTTATGGACTATAGTTTAGATTTTATTCACCGTTTTCCTTTTTCTTTTTACGGGACTGATATCATCGTGTGGTGATAGCTATTAATGTTGCCTTCTTGATCTCCTCTGGAAAACAACCTGGTTACAGTTATCACCCTCGTGGATTCAGATGATCCACTCTGTGTGGTGGGAGTGCATCACAAACAGAAGACAAACTGACACCAAGAACACAGGCATTATGGAGCCAGTATAATAAGAACTGGCAGCTTTACGAAAACAAATATCAAACTGACACGGACTGACCCTAACACAATAATCCCCAAACACAAATAACAGAGGTCACACTGGCAAACAGTGTGCCGTGAGTTAATACAGTCCAGTGATTCTCCAGCCTGTCAGCATGTGTGGAGTCCCGATATAGTCTGTGACTAACACCTGAAATATGGCCCGTTTCTCCCCCACTATTCACTGTACTCCACATCTACAGTGTCATCATCTGCTCCTACTGACCCTGATGGCTCACTTACACATACATCCGCAGAGGTGTGTGTGTGTGTGTGCATGTGCATGGGTGTACGCAGGGTGACGCATAGGCTCATATTTTACCCGGACGCCTCTCTGTCTGCAACACACAGCTGGCACAGCATGCTGGACATTCCCTCTGTCTGTGTGTGTGTGTGTGTGAGCATGTCACCACCTCTCTTTCACACGCACACACACACACACACACACACACACACTTACATGGTCTCATAATTTGTCAAACTCCTTTAATCTACGATGTATTTCTTATAAATAAGCGACAGATATCGATGATGGATGGGACATATTTCGAAATCCTGTGCTGGCGGTCAATCGAAGAGCATCGCTGTCCATGAACTTTGACCCGTGACTCAGAAGACTGAAGGGGACTCTGAATCTAAGGCATGGTTCTGAGGGGAGGGGTGCGTATGTGTGTGTGTGTGCTGTTCTTCGCAGTCCTCTTTGGCCAGAGTGAGAGCAAGGAGGGTGAAGAGGAAAACCGAGCAAGCGCTCCCACACCCGGAGGTGTACGCTACATGTCCAGAGCTATGTGAGCATCCGAACATTACACCCATGCGCCATTCTGGGAAGGCTCTCCAAAGACTTGATTGCACAATAACAGCAGCAGTAAGGTCGCGCGCTGATACTAGTCGTTGTTCCTTTTCGTCCCAAAGTTGTTGGACGGGGTTTAAGGTCGAGTCCTCTGAAACACCAAACACACCAAGCTCTGACAAACATTTCACTGGAAAACCCCTCAGATTGACCTACAACATAAATAAAAAAAAATCTTACTTTATCCATTTGTTTGCTAGGAACTATACATATTGGCATTATTACGTTTAAATAAAACAACCGATACAATCTATATAGGACCTCTAGTCGTGGCTAATTTGCAGCCCTTGTACCTGGTTGGGCTTATAAGGGATACAACACATAATAAAACACTCTAATACAAGCATAGAGACAAACTATTTTAAAAAGCGGTCAAACCACCACTACAAAGTATGTATGTTGAGCTAGAGGTCCACCAATAATGGATTTTATAAGGCCAATAACAGGAGAAAGACGATACAGAGCTGATGGTGTTGCATTTATATTCGAGAGATAACTTTTGTGGGGAGAAATAAACTGAAAACAGGTCAGATAAGACTTTTCATCTTGCTTTAGAACCAGCTGCTACTGGGAACGCAAAGTTTTAGCACACATTTTGTAACCCATATCGCCAGACTGATGCGTGATGAAAACAATACCTCATATTATCTAAATAATGAATAGCGCCGGAGCGCACTGAGTGCACTAGCTGCAAATGGCAGAGGGCAGACAGCTTGGTGAGTTTGATTTTGTTTTTGGCAAGATTTTATTAAATATCTTACACGACTTTACAACATTCTCTTATAAATGAAAAGTTCAAATTACAAGCAACAAAATTTACTCTTGTTCAACAACCTCATGGCTAATGATATCAATGTGTACCTGACCTTAAGCAGTAATGCGAATTTCGCGTATTCATGTCACGTCATTCACCTCATTTAGCGTCTACTTGCGTCCATTCGCGTCTTTGCATCAACTTTGTATGTAATGTCGTTGTGTGAAAAATGTACTGCGCGTTTGGTGTGAACACAGCATAATAAGGCAGCATCACACTTTGATTCCCCTTTTGGGGTGTAAATTCTCAAAGACGATTGGCATGGCAGCTCTGGTCAGAGAGTGGCGAGAGCCTCTTGCTACTGTAAATCCTGCCCCAAGATCCCCATATTGATCCTGCCAGTCGATAGTGTTATTCATGTGGCCTCGCGAGCCAGTGCCCCTGCTTATTGACAATAACTTCATAGTCAGCAAAGCATGAAATTAATATTCTATCTACAGTGTGTAAAGGAGCGGCGGGACGAGGCTTTTTTTAAAACAGGGGTGAGATGTGGAGTGGATGGTTGGTGCACAGAGGAGAGGTTAAGCGAAGAGACAAGCACACACACACACACATGCCTCCACACATATCAAAGAGGGCACCGTTTGTTCTGGATCACAAAGCGGGGACCATTGTGACAGCTTAAGCTTCATAAGTACAGGAAGTCGAACAGACAGAATTAGAGCTGCCAATCGAATGTGTTGGCATATATGTGCATCCTTTAATGTGCCACTGTTGATCTCTGTGAGTCACATTAAAAGACTCTCCTCTGTGTATTCATGTCGGCGTGTGGATGTCCGTGCACGCGCAAGCTTATGTGAACATTCACAACAGCTGGCCTGACGCGGTCGGCCCTCGCTTTCTTCCCGTTGGCTTGTTCCGCCACGTAAACACACTCCGGCGTGCTACCGGTTTATCTTTAGCAGCACCCATTCAACCGGGGCGGACCACTCTCAGTGGCAAAAGGGGGGGGGGGGGAATGGGGAGCCGTGAAATTCAAGCAGAAGTGTAGACGCGCGAGTGGGGGAGTTAGGGACGGGCCGACGTGAGGTTTGTTAAGTACAAGTGCATGACTGCGTGACTGTGTGTGTGTGTGTGTGTGCGCGACAGCCTCCCTCGCGTACACAGACAGCAGAGGTTAATAAATATATATATACGGTTACCACAGCTGACCCATTTCCCGCTTCTTCTCCACTCCACACCCCCGCCCCGGCAACACTCAAATAAAGCGTGTGTCACATGCTCGGCATCCCAAAGCCCCGAGAAAAACGCTTACACCAAATATCGGATTTGATGATTCTTATGTTTCCTCAGCGCTGTGGGTTTCGGATTTATTCACTGCGGTCATCAAAAGAGCCAAAGCTGGGCTGGGCTGGCGGGGCTTGCGTGAAGTTTCAAGAGAGAGAAGCAAGTTCGGCTTCTTCTTCTTTTCTTTTTTTTTTCATTTCAGGATGGAGGAGGTCGAAGGACTAGGCTGGCAAATTCCCCTAACGCGCACAGACACAAGTGCTGACCCCCCCATTCTGTTGTCATCTTTGTTTGTGCGCGTCCCAAGAAGAAGCTCTCTGAACAACACGCTGCATATCCAACTGCAGCATGCATTGCATCACACACACACACCTACAGGCTACACAGAGGTGAGCCAATAAGGGAGGATGGGAACTGCACAGTCATCAGTAATTGTCATAGCTCAACAAGCGATGGGTCATGCCCTGCTTCTGTAAGCATTATTGTGCACTGGAGAGAGAGGGAGAATCCCCATATAGCAACGCTCCGCGGGTTCATAGGAATGTTATCGATTACTCAATTGATGCATTTTTTTTCCTCCCAGCTTCTTCAACATTTTCTGCTTTTATCTGTTTGATATCGCTGTTGATTGATACCTCTGGGTACCTTTTTTGTTATCTGTTGGTCACACAAAAATAAATTTTATTTCTTTTTTTTACATATAACCATCTACGCTATGAACTGATGCATGGTGAAGATAATCCATACATTAACTGATAATTACATCACTCCTAATTGATGCCCTGAAAGGTTTGGCTCTCAAATAGCTGTAGATCTGCTAAACACCCTGAAGCTCTCAGTAATGTCTGATTAGTGTGTCAGTCACGAAGACCAACCAAGACAACATTTCCAATCATTATCCCAAGAGATCGTTATGATTTGCATGTATGATTTTATGGTGGATATACTTAATTATATCATTTTTACGCTATAGGTTTGGGTTACTTCTCTTAGGCTGTTTATTATCTTAATCTCCCTGGATCCATTTTATATGTCTATAAGCATTTACATTTTGTTTTTTGCTGCGATGATCCGTTGTTGTCCCTCGAGGCCCATATGTCATATATCACAGGTTCATTAGAGGTTTGCCTTCTCAATATGTTATTATGTAGCGGTGTGATGGCAGATACAGTGAGGCGGCCATCAGATCATCCAATCAGCCTGACAGATCCGGTGACAAGCGCGTGCGGCGGGGCGCCTCTCTCTCTCTCTCTCTCTCTCTCTCTCTCTCCCCCTGTCATTGGCGGCTCTTACCTTGGTGAGCTGAGCGATCTTCTTGCACATCTTGCCGTGCATCTGGTAGTCATACAGCTCCTGCTCGATGTTCGGGACCTCTGCCGCAGTCCCGTTAACCGCGGTGCCCGGCCCGGGGGGCTGTGCAGCCTTACCGGCGCCCGCTGAAGCCATAATTTAAAAAAAACCTATACCTCGCGCAAACTTCCCAGACCGCCGGAGGATAGTCAGAAATTATCCCGCCGCCTCTCAGATTAAAAATCCCCAACCAAAAAATCGTGTAACTTTCTCACTCGCGCATCTCATTCATCCGTCGGTAGACCCCCTCCCGTTTCGAGCGATTCGCTGGGAAACATTTGGCAGTAGATCGGCGGGGTCTCTCCTCGCGCGCTCCGGTTGCTGCTGCCCCCCTCTCCCGCTGCCCGCCCGGTGATCGCGGAGGTCACACGCTGGAAGTCCATCGGGGACGCGCTCGCGCCTACCGACCCTTCCCCTGCTGTCAACAGATATTATTATTTTTTTACTCTAAGAGGGAGCGCTCGAGGATGAAGGCGTACTGTCCAACCACCTGTCTCGCGGCAGGGGCGGAGAGGGGCGTGTGTATCCTATGGAACATTACCGGAGACAGAGAGAGAGAGAGAGACAGAGAGACAGAGAGAGAGAGAGAGAGAGACAGAGAGACAGAGAGAGAGAGAGAGAGACAGACAGAGAGAGAGAGAGAGAGAGAGAGAGAGAGAGAGGCGCACTGCTGCAGTGCTGCCCCGCCCCTACCGGCGCTGCTGTTTCAATCACCGTGCGGATGGGAGTAGGGGGGGCTCCGGAGACCAGTCGTGTGATTTTACTCCATCAGTCCGATAAACAGAAACATATGACTGCTGCTTCTTTTTTTTATTAAACATTTCGGTTGGATACATCTTCTACTACCACTACAAGTATTGACTGTGCTGCCATAGCAACAAAATGCTCCCAAAACAATTTTTCTCCTAACTTAATATATTTGTGAAACTGCACCCTCTATGCATAGACGATCAGTTATTTTCCCTCTTATAGATGTAGGCATTCAGCTAGGCCCAATGTGGAGTTTAAAGTGCAAACCACAAGAGCACATTCTCATACACAACGTGGCACTCCCTAACCTTAAAGGGGTAGTCCAGCAATTTAAGATTTGTAGTTCCATAACGTTGGGGGACTTGCAAGAAACATTTAAATTCAAGATCGATGCAGCGGAGGCCAAGCTTTACCCACACTAGTCCCCAAAGCTTCAAAAACACTGATTCCTACATCTCCCATAATGCAATTTGGCAGCATAATTTCATTTGAACCATAGACTGTAAGAAGTGGACGTAGTCATCGTGACATCACCCATTTGTTTTACCATCACCCATAACTTTTACCAAGTTACCATATTTGGAATGTGGAGGAGTGATGTAGAGACGCCGTATATGGCTCTGGTAGCGGCAGAGACCTGTCAATCACAGTAAGCCCGCCCTAAAGCATACTCTGCTTTATGGTCTATTTGACTCTAAATGGACCATCATTTACTAAATGAACATCATGCTGTATTGAAGAAGACTTGAAACTAGAGATTGAGACCATTAACTCATGTTTACAATATTTACTGAGGGAATAAATCAAGTGAGAAGTAGAGTTATTTTCTCATAGACTTCTGACTTATTTTTGCAACCAGAGGAGTCGCCCCCTGCTGGTCAGAGAGAATGCAAGTTTTATGACACTTCTGCATCGGCTTCACTCTGCAGAACCAGAGGTTGCCGCCTGGTCAGGCCACATTTGAATTGTGGCATGTAATTATTTTTCAATGTGAAAGATCATTTTGCAAGTCGAGAAAGTCGCAGTTTGTCATAGATTTGTCGTGGTACCATTTAGTTTGGTGTTAAATTGATCAGTGATCTACATCTTTTGTCTCACAACAAGTCCGGTACCTTGGCTTGCTAACTAGCTAAGTAACGTAGCTATGTTCCACTCCGTTTTCTTACATGATGTGTTTTATCCAGTGACTGTTTTTATCAGCCGGGAAGCGAAAGAACGAACGAGACTGGTTGTTCTTGTGAGTACATCCAGGTAGGAAACACAGGTATCGTAGCTTCAGCGAGAGGTATCGCTAACGTGACTTTTGGGTGTGTAGTCCAATTACATATTTTCACAGTCTTGAGTTTTACAACAAAATGCAACTTTCTTGACATGCAAAATTATCTTCAAGAATTGAAAAACGTTATATGTGTAAATTGTCAAATCACTTTTTGTCTCTCGACATTGAGTACTGTACATATTTTTTACGAAATAAGGTCCCATGGTGGTCAATCGGAAGGGGTGCGACTAGATGCCCATGTCTTTCAAAGTCCCAGCCCTAGTCATAATTTTTCCATTATTGTACTGCTATTATTGGTGCTACTACTGCTATTACTTAGCTCATATGGATAATTTATATCATACAAATAGACTATTTTGTAACACTGTTATGTTGTTCATTCTGTACACATGACATGTGTTGCACTTCTGGCCATCCTGGGAGAGGGATCCCTCCTCTGTTGTGCTCTCCCGGAGGTTTCGTCCTTTTTCTCCCTTTGTTTCCAACAAACATTTTTAAAACCCATAATCTTACAATCCACATCACGCAGCAATGGGCTGTCGAGTTCTCCTTCTTCATTCTTCCACCAGTTATCACATATCCAACCAAGTGCAACACCATGAATGCCTTCAAGGAGAGACTGTCCGAAAGTGTGTGTGTGTGTGTGTTATACCCACTAGTACGATTTATTGCTCTTGATAGTACCAAAAAAATGCGAAAGACGCAGACTTCTTGGAGAGAGATTGATGAGGCAGAGGCGGATGCATGACATGCTTTTCACCCCCTCCTTCTAGCGTGGCCATTTGGAGCAGCTATAAACAGTTGTATCTTAAGAAGTGGTCTGATGGCACATCTTACGACCTAGTTTGTTCAAAGCATACTGAGGCCTTAAGACATGACCGCAGGATAACTAATGCAGGACCGGTTCTTTAGTCGAGCATACCTCAAAACAAATTATGAAATGAATCAAATGGTCACAAACCAATTGGCCCATAGTGAACCTGGCGCTTCAGGGGACCCCAGGGGGTCTGGGGCCTCTCGGCTTTTTTGTCTGCTTCGCCCAGTTTTGTAACCCAGCCTTGGTCACAACGAGAGATATATTTACACACATATGACTTTAAATATCTAAATGATCATTATATAATAAGATAGGTGTATGTGTTTAATGGAGCTACTCAGACTATTAGTATTAATCTGTGCTTTAAAAGTGTAAATGAGTGCACAGTAATGCAAAATGGTAGTTTAGCACAGGGAAAGCTCTGGAAAGCATTCGGACGTCTGAAGTTGACCCCCTGTACAGTATCCATGGATTTGTAGAAGCGCTAAAGCCATTTTCCCACCGCTTTCTGGCTCAGGACATTGCAGGTGTACGGACTAATGGAGAGACTTTTTGCCCCTGCATCCACCGGCATAAATATTTAATATGATAATACACCTCTCAGATGATCCTACGCCCGCACGCACGCAGGTCCCAAAGCAGATGTCCGAAAGAGCATCCTCTATATTAAATTGATTTCCAGAGAGAGGTGCTGTTGTTGTTGTCATAAGAGGTGCCCTATATACCCGTGGAGATGCTTGTTCCTGCCCTCTCCAGGGGTGAGCTGTCTGCTGTGACGCCTTGGAAATCAAAACACCAATAGAGAGGTAATATCTAATATTAGCAGATTAGTGATTGATTTCTTTCGTCCAACTCAAATGAAGCCACAGGATTATCTGGTTCTTTGTACATGTTTTTAATTGGCAAATTATGAAAAACCTAACCAAACATAGTATAATGTGAGTGTTGTAAACTAATTGTCAATATGATTATTTGGTTATTATTTCAAAATGCCAGAAAACAGTGGAAAAAGGGTACAAAACTCAAAGAAGGACGAGTTCACAATGTAAACAGAGAAAGGTAGCAAATCTTAACATTTGAGAAGCTGTTACTCCGGGAATATTTTGCAATTTTTTGCTCCAAATAATGCTAAAACAGTTTATCAACTATCAAATAGTTGCAGATAAATTTTAGATTGACTGATTATACAATTCATTTGTTTTGTTTCCGCCCTCCTATTTTTGTATAGTTCATTATCGAGCAGAGTAGCGCCTGCCAGGTTAAACTCAGGGCTAAACAAGAGGCTGTGACCGTCATTATTTATTAATCACGTCTCAGTTCTCGCGAGAACACGCGTGAGTTGAATTTGAAAACAGGCGGCAGTGTTGCCAGAGGAAAACTGAAGAAAAGGTACGTTTCGAAAACTCGTAATACGTATAATTATCCGGTATAATACTATATGTGCTTTAATGCGATGATAAAGTATCATGATAAAGTATGATGTAGAGTATCCATAGGGGACTTTATTCCGTATGACTCAGCCAGGTGACGTTGTTTTTCTGCTTGTTTACGTGGGAGTTGTAGCGACGTGGGGCTTTTAGCTAATGAGACACCAGAGACGAACAAGCTGCTGCACTTAGCATCCAGTTAAAACCTCGCTTTGTTAGTCGCTATAAGGAACGCTGCTGTATGCTGCTGTTTAACCGATTATCTCTCTCTTTTAATTTAGATTTCTGTGAAGGAAAGATGACCGCCGACAATGAAATGGACATTAAAGACGCGTTTCAGCGCGCGCAGAAGGGCCACAACAACAAGGCGAAGCTGGTGGCGAGCCTGAACAGCCGCTACAACAAGGTACGTCCAGTTATCAGTAAAAATCAAAGGAGAGTTTTGATTAAACAGCCTTAACAGTAACTTAATGAAGGGAAGTAGCAAACAGAAAAGTTTAAATCCACAATTCAAGTTGAATGTGATGAATACAAAGTTAAAGCTGCTTCTCCGTGCTCTGTTTTGACCCTGGGGACATGAAGCTAACCTGATGACCACTGAGATCTGGATGCTTATCTATTCTGTTGTGAATGAATATTGCCAAAACTCATGACTTTGGTTTCAATTATTGCCCATTTCCACCATCTTGTTTTAAAACTTAGCTATTGTTTCTCCTGGTTGTCATCCCCTGTTACTGATGACACCCTCCATCTCCTCAACCAGCTCGAGGACAAGACACTTTTCCACGAGGAGTTCGTCCACTACCTGAAGTACGCCATGATTGTCTACAAGCGTGAACCCACGGTGGAAAATGTCATGGAGTTTGTTGCGAGGTTTGCCACGAGTTTCCAGTCTCCGCCTAAGACTGAGGAGGGGGAGGAGCGGCTGGAGGATGAAGAGGAGGAGGAGGAGGAGGAGGAGGAGGAGGAAGAAGAAGAAGATGCTGAGGACGATCATCCATTTTTGAGTTTTCTCTTCAACTTTCTGTTGGAGGTATAAACATTATTACACGCTTTAGTCTGCTAAATAAATAGAGAGATCAATGTTGTGTGCTGTACAAAGAAAACCTGATGTGATTGATGTGTCTGCTGCCTTTTCATCAGATTTTGTCCCGTCCCATCTGACACCCTCTCTCTCTCTCTCTCTCTCTCTGTCCCACATGTCCTCTTTCCTTTGAGATGTGTCTCTTTTCGGCACCTTTTCCCCCTCATCCCATATCTTGATCCTCTTTCTTTACTTCTCCTCCCAAACTATTTTGTCTGCTGCATCTATTTCTGCCTTTCCTTTCCCCTCAGTCCCACAAAGCCAGTAGCCATGCGGTGCGTTTCCGCGTGTGCCAGCTGATCAACAAGCTGCTGGGCAGTATGGCGGAGAACGCCCAGATAGACGACGACCTCTTCGATCGCATCCACCAAGCCATGCTGGTCCGCGTCACCGACAAGTTCCCCAATGTGAGGATTCAGGCCGCTTTGGCCATGACGCGTCTGCAACAGCCAAAGGATCCCGACTGTCCAACCATCAACGGTTTGTTGTTGTTTTTTTATTTTCGATTTCACAAAACACACTCGAGCAAATGCAGAACACATTGTCAGTGTTCAACTGTAAAATACGCTGCCGTCAGTGCATTCTCCTTGAAGTAGCCTTTGTTTTGTGATTTAATGTGTATGTTCTTATATCCTTCTCTTTGGCCCTCTACCTGTTGTCTAATACTCTGTTTCTTTCCACTGTTCAGCATACATGTTGATTCTAGAAAACGATACTAATGCTGAGGTGCGACGCGCCGTCCTTTCCTGCATTGCGATGTCCCCTCGCACCCTCCCCAAAGTACTCAAACGCACCCGGGACATCAAAGAGAACGTCCGCAAGCTAGCCTACCAGGTAGCCGCAAACCCAGTCGAGTGAACATAACGAAGTTGCTCAAACGTTGTGAATTGGGTTGAAACTTTCCCTCTCTTGTTTTCTGTTTCAAGGTTCTGGCTGAGAAAGTTCACATTAAAGCTTTGACCATCGCTCAGAGAGTTGGTCTGCTGCAGCAGGGTCTCCACGACACCTCAGGTAAGCATTTCTGTACCCGTGTCACATTTATACAGACACATTTTTCAATCAAGTACTTGAACTTTTAGTAAGCAAAAACAAAAATCTGCAACAAACAAAAAGTGTATTTTGTGAATTGTCAGTTAATCTGTTGAATTATTGCCTTAATGAGTTGTTTAAAGTTACTGCGAGTGGGTTAAAATAAATCTTCTGTCCATCAAGTGTTAGTGTCAGCTGTACATCCCACTGAACATGTTCATGTGTTGTAGAAACGGTGAGGGAGGTGGTTTGTTCTCGTCTGCTGCCGGCCTGGATGCTTCGGCTGGATGGTAACGTCACAGAGCTGCTCCACCGGCTGGATGTAGAGAACTGTGCCCAGACGGCTCTGGACACGCTGCAAGCCATCTTCAGAGGCATGCCTACTGAAGAGCTGCTGCAGAGCAGAGCGCAGCTCGACAACAGGTACACTTCAAACTCCCTCTCTCCGTCTCTCGAGTGTCATTGCGTCATTCGTGAAATGTCTTGTGTTGTCAACAGGAAGCTGGTCCCGGTGGACTCTCTGTCCTGTGAGAATGTGCTTCACTGGAGAGCTCTGTGTGAGTTCATCAAGGCTAAAGGAGACGATGGGGATGAATTGCTGGACCAAGTGTTACCAGACGCTGCCACTTATGGCGACTACCTCTACGGGTGAGAGAAGAGACGCTTCACTGGATTACATTTCTAGTTTTCTCGCTGTCGGCTGTACATTTCACCACTGCTGCAGATCAGCAGCAACAGGCTCTACAGAGGGATTTATTCTTGTAGTTAAATGGATGGTTTCACAATTTTTCCAAGTCTGTCTTGAAACAATAGTCAGCTGCCAATATGATCACTGAAACAGGTTTTTCTAAAAGGGGCATTAAAAGATCCTAATGCTCTTTCACTGTAGGAGATGTGCGACACAAATCCAGTCCTTTTTACAGGCGAAAACCATCTACTGTGTATAAGAGGTAGACGTAGTCGTCGTGACGTCGGCCATCGTTTTGATGCTTCAAGTTCGGCGTTGTGGCCGTCACCATCTTGTTTTTTGCAACCGGTGAGCAAATGTGACCATATTTGGACTGCGGAGGAGTGACTTAGAGACGCCGTGGTAGTATTAGTGACCTGTCAATCACAAGGTAGCCCCACCCTAAAGCATCCCCTGCTTTATGGTCTGTTTGACTCTAAATTGACCATAATGTACTAAATGAACATCATGCTGTATTGAGGAAGACTTGAAACTAGAGATTGAGACCATAAACTCATGTTTACAATGTTTACTGAGGTAATAAATCAAGAGAGAAGTAGAGTCATTTTCTCATAGACTTCTATACAACCAGAGGAGTCGCCCCCTGATGGCCATTAGAGAGAATGCACTAAATCACTTCTACATTGGCTTCACTTTTCAGACCCTGAGGGTCTGGCAAAACCTGAATATGTTTCTTCAGCAGACTGAGTTAGGTGAATGAAATGGGAATTTTTTTACCGCCTCGTACAAGTTTTATTTTTTATTTATTATTTATTTATTTTTATTTATTTATTTTTTTTGTAATAGTTCCTTACTGCAGCTCAGAATGGAAGCACAGTACGGGGAAACTGAAAGAGGGAATTCTCCACTAAAAAGGCTGCCGAAGCCTCATATTACATCAGATAAAGTGAATATATGTTTCTCAGAATGAGGGCTGTGGCCTTTGTCTCCATCACTTATATTGAAAGGGCTTTAGTTTAATGTCCTGTATGAACAGAGAAATAATTACAAGCTAACCCTCTTCATGTTGTTTGTCCTGACTGTTGGTTTACGACGGACATGAATAATTGCGAGCCTTACCTTTTACTATAGTCTGCAGTAGTTAACGTGTAGAACTGAGCACCTAACACAGTTGTCATAATGCTTGTTGCTCAGAGAAACTCTTCCTGTGTGTAACTGTGGCAAGCTTCTTGGCATGTTTTTAGTGAGCAGGTGTAGGTTTGTATGAATTGACATGGCGTGTGTAGCTTGTAGCTAGCTCTGGTGACGTGTTTAGCCAGCTACAGTGTTGCGTTCATGATTGTGTTCTTTAGCTGTACCGCTGTGATTCTTGTACCAGAGGATGGCCATGATCTATGACTGCTCTGAGGGCTGTTGTCATTCTCTGAGTTGTGACTCTGGCCCGTCGCAGATATCTGAAGGCAGTACCTTTGCTGTCAGAGGAGCAGAGGGCCGACTTCAACCAGCTGGAGCTCGTCATGACCAAGGAGTTCATCTCCCAGCAGCTCATCCGTCTCATCGGATGTCTGGACACCAACGAGGAGGGCGGCAGGTGAGATGAGGACCGGCGTGGTGTTGGTGAAATGTAAAGGAGGGGGACAGTTATGTCCTCTTTCAGATTAGTGGAAAGAAAACATCCAAAATACACGTTTAGGTTATTTTACTGCTTTGTCTATTTGTGTCTGTAGATTTCTCCTAAACTTAACCAAAGGGAGCATCAGAAAATGCCTCATTCGCATATTTAAACATCACATTTTCAGAAAACTTGTAATGAGAGAAACATTTGTCTTACTGTCAGGAATCAACTGAGGAAGTTTGACATTATGGCTGGAGTATAATTCAATATGATGATTTATCCTCTTTCAATGGAATCATAGCGTCGAAATATCGTGATACACGATTATGTCGTCAAAATTAAAATTACAAAAACATACAAAATATAATTTCTCAGTACGTTTGATCATTTCGCACTAACGTTCTTAATTAAATGAGAAAATACTTTTCATTTTTCAAGTAATTTACAGGAGTATACAAAACCATGTGGTTATTCCAGACAGACAATTTATTTATTGTATTACCAGAAAAAAAGTATATTGAAATAAATATCATTTACAATGCACGTCTGTAAAGACTCATAAATCTCTATTATTTCACCAAACGTTCCCCCTTCATCCCTATCTGTGTTCTGAAGGTTTCTACACAGTTCATATATCATTCATAGCCTGATTTATACAACATTTTACTAAGAATAACAACATGGCGAAAACAGATTTCATTTGTATGGCTGTCGACAGTATTTTCTGATTTAAGGAGCGATTTTTAAAAAAAAAAAATATATATATATATATATATATATTCCCTCCGTTAAAAACCTTCGATTCTAACATGTAGACAAAATGTAACAAGAACGCTTGAACCCGGCTTTATCCAATGTTCAGATTTGGGGGTTTAAAATGCATGCAAATGAGCACATACTTAATAAAATAATACCTAATTTGCATATTTAAACTGACAATTTCAGAACACTTGTAATACAAATGACTGCTTTAAGTTTCATGGTGATATCGAATAGTTATATATTTCTAAATGATAAATGATCACATTTGACTTCATAAGAATAAATATAATGCTACATTGTTTTTAAATATGCCAATATAATTCGTTTCCAAAATTGTTTTGCTGCAGTTTAATGAGAGGTTTTCTTAAGGGGCTCTGCTTCTTGGAAACACTCCCACCTTCATCCAACATCAACACAAATTGAGAGTTCATTGCCGTAGCTTTAATCGACTATTAATGTGCCAATTATTTTAACGGTATCTGATATATATGTCTGGTTAGATGCTGCTTAAATATATGAGCTTCAGACGATGTTTAGAAATCTACGATCTGTGATCATTTAGTTTGGTAAGAGATGTACCGTCTCCACAATTCAGAACAGCTCCGTCCCTATTTAGTTTTGCTCATCAAACGGCTTAATGTTGTCCAGTTTGCAGTGTGAGATCATGAGGTGTTTGTAGTCCAACTTGTCCCGCTGCATGTTGTTTGTAGGAAGCGCGTGTTGGCTGTCCTGCATGAGATGTTGGCTCTTCCACAGACTCCCTCCTCCCTGGTCTCCCTTCTCACTGAGAGACTCCTCACCCTCATTCCTGACGACCACAGACGCATTCAGACTGTGAGTTCCACACTTTACATCTCTCACTAACTCCAGCGTGCTCCTCTACACACAATGTATCCACGCCCCTTCATAGCGCCGGGCGACAGACCAGTGAGGCAGAAAGTTGAGTACAGAAGCTGAGATTATTTCTCCCTGTTGTGCTGATGAAAGGAACCGTCCTGTGCTACTAAAGGTCTTTTGTTTGGGATTTTCCATCCAGTGGTGGTAGAAGTCTGAATGAGCCTGCTTTGCGTCACGCAGGTGGCAGAGATCATCTCGGATATGAGGGAGCCCATCATGGAGGCCAGCCAGCCGCTGGACGAGAACGCGAGCCGCCGGCAGCAGGTCCAGGTGGGCGACACTCAGACACACTTCCATCCAGTCATGTCGTCCAGATACCTCCCTGTATCTTATCTTTTTTTGTTATTTCTAAGTCCTCCCTGTTCTGTGCTCTATTTACATTCCCTCTCTGTTTGTTTCTGTTTGTCCATCACTCTGGTCCTCCAGCTGAGCACATGGTTTGTGTTTGGAGGCAAAGCCTCTTTAGCTGAGGTGGAAGGTGCATATGCCCATCGGGTCTTTGCCTAGAAAGGTCCAGTAGTCTTCTCTTTTTAAAATCAGTCGTCTACATGACTTTATTTTTCCTTATTGGACCCTCTGAGACCCGAAGGATCGCCGGCAGAAATGGCTTCCTGTAAGAGGCTCAGTCTCCCTTGACATCTCGCATCAAGATACTTCTCTGGATACCCACGAGTCTCCTCTTTATGTACACGCCTACTTTATGATAACCCCATATAGTTTTAGAGCAAAAACCAAGCTGTCTTTTTGCATACAGTAAAAATCGTGTTATTTTTTGCCTATTCAAAGAATGGTGTATTTTAATATTTCTGCATACGGGGGTCCCTAAACAGTCTGGGAATCCATGGATTGGGTCTGACTGGAACGCTGACACTCTTGTGCATCCAATGAGCTCAACTGTATTCATGTGATGATGTTAGTCCTCATAGTAGCCATTTTATTGTAGTGAGAGCATTTTTTTTTTTAAATTGACCTGACTGTATAAAATCACCTAATAAAACATTACAACCACAAACTAGAGACCTAGAGCATTCAGAGGGTGTGTGGCTTATTGTCAATATAGCGATATTGACAATAAATTCATGCAGAAATCTCCAAATTTAAAAGGTTTTTGATCCCAAATAAAATAGGATTTTTCTCTGATGTTACTCAAGGTCTTAGTGTCTAAATGTGGTATTTCAGAGGGATTTAAGATCGTTATTAATTCTCAAGTGGTAAAAAAATTATTCAATTTAGCACCAAATCAAACCAAGAATTGCTGTAATGAGTTCTGAGACAAAAGTGAGCATGAGAATGGCCATCACAGACTTCTATCATAATGTTCTTAGCCCTCACACACTCCCACAATTCATTTTAATGAATGAAGTAATTAATACATTTCTTTTTCAGATTTATCTTAAATTGATCCTGCGGTTCCCAGCTTTCAGCGTACACACACCACTTCTATGTGGCGTATTCTGTTGACCTGCTGTCTGTCCTCTGTAACAGACTAGCGGGTCTGTGTGGGGCTCTAGGTGTTACCCAGGAACACAGAGGCACAGACGGCCGCAGAGGAAGATACTATATGTATAACAGCGTCCTTCCCTTCTGTGTAGCTGTAGTAAAGACAAAGTAGGCTCTAGAGGACTCACCTGGCCCAGAGCCCGTCTCATCAGTCAAGATGTCCTCTGGAGTGTATTTCAGCTGAGGACTGACTCGTCCCCATCTCCTCCCCTCCAGCTGGCGGAGGTGAAGGTGCGCATCTTGGAGGCCAAGCAATCCCTGGAGGACTGCATCGCCGCCCAGGACTTCAGCCGCGCCGCAGAGCTGAAGGACTCCATCACAGAGCTGGAGAACCGCCGAAACCAGATCCTCCAGGAAACCGCAGAGAGCAGCCAGCCGGCCGACAAGGAGATCCGCGCCGAGAAGGTACGTAACCGCACTGTCCCACCATGTCATTTATTACTTACCCCGTGTGGTTAAAACAGGGAACGGTCTCAACACCTTTTTATTTTTGTTTCAGAATGACCCAGAGACTCTCCTGAGATGTCTCATAATGTGTGCTGAACTACTGAAGCAGATGAGCATCAAGACACGAATCGGTCCAACCATAAGTGCCTTAATGTCCTCTCTGGTATAAACCCACACAGCACACATCGGATCTTTCACTTGGACATGACTGCAGATGTACAGTCATGTCCAAGGAGCTTCCTTATTGATTCACATATCTGTGTTCACCTCTCTGATTGGATAGCATTCATTTTCAGTTGAATCGTTTGAATCATCCCTGGTTATTTGCTCGTTGTTTGTTTTCTTCATTGAAGTGGAGTCGGTAAAAGTCTGTTGATGTCACCGTTTCCTCCGTCCGTCAGGTCCTGCCCAGTATAGCGAACGCTCACCCTGCTGTCCGTAACATGGCCGTGGTTTGTCTGGGAACGTGCACTCTGCACAGCAAGGAGCTCTCCAAAACACACATGGTCCTGCTGCTGCAGGTAATGTCGCCCACCTACAGTTCAAACCCATTTATAAACGAGAGGAACTAGACCCCCTAACCACTGTATGTGGGTGTTTAGTTTATAAATTCACCTCCTAATCTTAGTGCAAAGTATGTGAATTCTACATATCGTATTATTAATATGCATAGCGACTAGCGACCCACTGCAAAGTGGAAAAATATATTTTAGTCATTTTGATTCCCTCATCTCCAAACGCATGACTCACGTACTTGGTGGTGCACACATTGTAGAACTGTGTGTGTGTGTGTGTGTGTGTGTGTGTGTGTGTGTGTGTGTGTGT